CGGGATGGGTGTGTCAGAGGCAGTGCGGTTGGCGCAGGATAGAGCAGGGTTTAGGGCTGTTGTGCATAGGGTCGCTATGAGTCACAAACGACTCGACGGCACATAACAACAACAACAATCTTGGTTAGGGATCAGACCTAAGAGGAGATCAACCAAGTTCTCAATTCTTTAAATAAATTTTGATAGAAGGAAAACCAAAAGCTCTTCCTTATTTCCTTCTAGAAAATATTGTCTAAGTAACTTACATTATGCAGATGACACAAGCCTGCTTGCTGGAACTGAGGAGGACCTGAAGTGCTTGCTGCAGAAGGTCAAAGACTGCAGCATTCAATACGGACTGAAGCTCAACATCAAGAAAACAAAGATTCTCACCATTGGCCCAACTGGCAACATCATGATAGACAGTGAAGAAACTGAGATTGTTAACAGCTTTAGTTTGCTTGGTTCCACTATCAACACTCTTGGTACCAGCAACCAGGAAATAAGAAGACAAATTGCATTGGAAAAGTCTGCTGTCAGGAACCTCTCCAGAGTTCTGAAGAGAACAATGCCAGACTAAGGTGCACCTGACCCAGGCCATAGTCTTTGCAATTACTTGCTATATGTCAGAAAGTTAGACAATAACTACAGATGACAGAAGAATTGACGCTTTTTAGCTGTGGTGCTGGAGTACTGAATATACCATGGAATGCTAGGAGAACAAACAGGTTCGTCCTAGAGAGGGTGAAACCAGGCTGCTCCTTGGAGACAGGATTCTGAAGCTTCATCTAACATACTTTGGACATGTTGCAAGGAGGACCAATCCTTGGAGAGGGACATCATGCTTGGAAGGATGGAGGGACAGCGCAAGAGAGGAAGACCCTTTATGAGATGGACTGATTCAGTGACTGGGGTAATGGGGGCAGATGTGTTAGAGACAATAAGGTTGGCTCAGGATAGAGCAGGGTTCAGAGCTGTTGTACTTAGGGACGCTACAAGTCACAAGCAACTCAACAGCACATAACAACAATTATATATAAACTTAAAATTCAAGAAAGGACTACTACCTCAGGCCCTGAAGAATTATCCTCCTCTCAACAGTTTATAAATTCTCTTGACATAAAATAAACAAGCAACTCTTGTTTTATATGTAGTTCTATTGCATATTATCATACCTGCATTTTGGAAATATTTTGTAAAATTATAAACAAAAGTTGTTGTTGTTGTGATGTGCCGTCGAGACACCTGTGACCCATAGGGACCCTATGTATACTAGCCCTAAACCCTGCTCTATCTTGTGACAATCCACTGTCTCTGACACACCTACCGCCAATACCCCAGTCTCTGAATCAGTTCATCTCATCAAGGCTTTTCCTATCCTGCGCTGTCCCTCCACCCTCTCAAGCATGACATCCCTCTCCAAGGATTGGCCCTCCTTGTAACACGTCCAAAATATGTCAGACAAAGCTTCAGAATCCTTGCCTCCAAGGAGCAGCCTGGTTTCACCCTCTCTAGGACTAACTGGTTTGTTCTCTTAGCAGTCCATGATATATTCAATACTCTTCTCCAATACCACAACTCAAAGGCATCAATTCTCCTTCTATTCTTTTTCGTCATTTTTTAGCTTTCTGATGCATAGCAAGTGATTGTAAAGACCATGGTCTGTATCAGGTGCACCTTAGTCTCCAGACTGATATCATTGCTTTTCAGTACTCTGGAGAGGTTTCTGACAGACTTTCCCAACTCAATATGTCTTTTAATCTCGTGGCTGCTGGTGCCAAGAGTGTTGATTGTGAAGCCAAGCAAACTAAAGATGTTAGGTATAAACTAAAATTATTTTTTAAATGCTAGAATGGTAAACTCAGTATAGTTAATACTTAAAGAAAAATACACCAACAACTCACAGTCAATTTTAGAAGAGAATATACTTCCCACCCCTCCAAAACAAATGAACTAAAAACAAGTGGTAGTGGTTTGAAAAATATCAGTGCTATAGTTAAAACTCAGTTATTACTAAGTAGTTAAAGTAAGAGCCTGGAAGCAGGAGCGGCATCCACTTCCGAAATGGCTTGCCTCTGGAAACTCTATGTACGAACAATGCTCAGGCCATTCGTTCATAGGGTCGCTATGAGTTGTCTACAACTTGATGGCACCTAACAGTAACAGCAACAGTTAAGTAAGACTTTTCACTGGTTTATAATTTATCCCTGCGACTACTACACAGTTAGAAACAAAAAATTAAACTTAGTTAACGTGTAAGGTACACCATAATTTGTAAAATCATAATTATAAGATGTCCCTGGTGCAATGATATCTTCTGAAATTTAAATCTGCTTGTGCAAAACCTATAGACAGACCAAGGAACTGTAGCCAAATAGAACAAGGAAACAATTCATGGTTTAAAATCAGGAAAAGTGTGTATCAGAGTTGTATTTTTTCCCCATATTTATTGAGACAGAATACTGAGCAAATCATTCAAGAAGTTGGACTATATGAGGAAGAATGCAGCGTGAGGATTGGAGGAGGACTGCATTATGTAGGTGACACAATCTTGCTTGCAGAAAGTGAAGAGGACTTAGAACACTTGCTACAGAAGATCAAAGATTACAGCTTTCTATATGGGTTATATTTAAACATCAAGAAACAAATATCCTTATCATTGCACCAACAGGCAACATCATAATGGAGAAAAGATTGACGTTGTCAATGGTTTAATTTTATTTGGATCCATGATTAAAACTCTTGGCACCAGCAATCAGGAAATCAAAAGATGAACTGCATTAAGAAAATATGCTGTCGACCTGATATTGTTAACAATCTCAGTCTATTCTGCCTCTATCATGATGCTGCCAACGGTGTTCACAAACAGTACTGAATATACTATGGATTGCCAAAAGAACAAATAAATCTATCTTGAAGGAAGAGTACTCCTTAGAGGCAAAGATGGTGAAACCTTGTCTCACTTTGGGCATATTTTCAGATATCTTCAGAGAGAGAAAGAGAGATCATGCTGAGGAAAGTAGAGGGTCAGTAAGTAGCAAAAGATCCTCAATGAGATGGGTTGATATAGTGCTTCCCCAGTGGGCCTGAGCGTGACAGATCGTGAGGCTGGTGCAGGATAGGGCAGGGCTCAGACCTGCTGTTCACAGGGTCACTAGGAGACTTAGTCAACTTGATGGCACTTTGCCACAATGACAATTATAAGAGTACTTTATATTTTAGGTTATTTACCTAAAAAAAATGACATTGATGAATTTTTTAAAAACCATGCAGAAGTGAATATTTAGTTTAAATGTAATTTGGAAAAGTAATTACCTTTACATTTCATTAGACTTACTTTTTTCCATTCCACTCCACAATTTTTGTAAAGTTAAGGTAACTGTCTTCTCCAGTTAGAAAAACATAGTCTCCATCATTTGTTCCGTTTTTCTGAAAATCAGTAAATATGTGAAATTCATTAGTAAATCTCATAAAACTGCTTTAACTTGGCCTAATTGCTATTTAGATCAGAACAGGAAAACAGTACTCTAAATACTTTTTTAAAAAATATAGTACTTTATGCATTGCTGGTGGGACTATAAAATGGTACAACCATTTTCGAAGGCAGTTTGACATTTCTTCATAAAACTCAACATAGAAATCCCATATTGCCCAGCTATTTCACTGCTAGGGAAAAAATCCCCTAGGAAATCAGAACTGAGACATGAGTGGATAGGTGTACACGCATGTTCACAGCAACATTCTTCACAATAGCAAGAAAATGGAAACAGCCCAAATGCCCATCAACAAATGAATGGATTGAGAAACTGCAACAGTCCCACAATGGAATATTAAGGAAGAATGACTTCTTAAATACTTACTATATACCTTGGGAGAGACTAGAGAGCATTATGCTGAGTGAACTATCTCAGTCACATAAAGACAAACATTGCATAAGGCCACTACTGTGATAATAGGAGGGGATAACTGAAGAAGAGAAATCTGGATATTAATAAAGGGAAGGGGAGAGAAAGCGGTAGCAAAAGCGGAAGGGGTAAAAACCACTGAGAGATTAAAAAACAAAAAAACCAAACCAAACCAAACAAAACAAATCACTGAGAGGTAGGTGGGTAGACAGGAGTGAAGGATTGGGAAATGTTCCATGGGGACTTGGAAAGACAAGGGTATCAAAGGCACACAGCAATGGCAATTATATAAAATATAATGCATATGAATGATTGTATAAAACACAAGGCACATGAATGAAACATAATGTATATGAATGGTTTATAAAACATAAAGTACGTGTACAAACCACAGAGTATATTAATAATCATATGTAAACCAATTAAAAAATTTTAAAATACAGTAAAAACCATATTATTACTTTGTGGTTTCAAAAATGAAAAAAATCGTTATAATTTTAAAATATAAACATTTTTCCAAAGAAAATGTATGATCATCTCATTAAGCCTATGGTAATATGCTCAGCAGTCATTGTTGTTGTTAAGTGCCGTCGAGTCACAGGCTACTCATAGCGACCCTATGAAGGAGAGTCCTCTACACTTGGGTGCCTTTCATCCTCTCTCCAGCTTCATAGGGTTTCTAGTGGCAAGCTATTATGGAAGTGGATGCCACTCCTTCCTTCCAAGCTTGTTTTAATCGGGGAGCTCCACCACACTCTCTGTCCGCATTGGGTAGCTTCCTGGCTTGCCGGTGGGGGGGTGGGGCAGAGTAGTCCTTCCCATCCAAAAAAACTGCCACAACACCTGCCCAAACAGCACCATGCTCTCTCGCAAGCGGGCCATAGCAGCCCTGGTCGGAGCAAACCTGGGAGGACATGGCCACCGTCTCTCCCTTCTTCTTCTTCTGGGCTTGAAGCCCTCTGCTGCCGCCTTAAACCCTAGGCCAAGCCTGACTTGCCTGGCTCCTGGAGGCAGATTAATCCTATGTGTCTGAAAACTGCCACAACATCCGCCCAAACAGCACCATGCTCTTTTGCAACCGAGCCTTAGCAACCCTGGGAGGAGCAAAGCTGGTCTCTCCCAGCAGTCATTAGGGGCGTAAAAATTGAAATCCCAGTGACATATTACTTCACACCCAGCAGAATGACAATAATAACAAAACAAAGACAATAAGGAGTATTGTTGAGAAGTAGAGACGTCAGAACTCTCATACACCAACTGTGAGAATGCTAGAAGTTGTAGTCGCTCTGGAAAACAGTGTGGTAGTTTCTCTAAAAAATTAAACACAGAGTTATCATATGATCTAGCAATTCTACTCAGATATATACTCAAGAAAACATGTATACACAAAAATGCACAGCAGCATTATTCCTAACAACCAAAAAGTAGAAACAACTCAAATGTCCACCACTGATGAATGCATATCCTGAAGTAGCATTTAATAATAAAAATGAGCTGCTGACACATGCTAAAACATTTATGAATCTTGGAAACCTGTTAAGTGAAAACAAAACAACCAATCATTCATAAGAACCATATACTGTATGATTCCATTTATCTGAAACGTCCAGAATAGGAAAACTTACAAGATAGAAAGATTACTGGCAGCCAGTGCACAGCAGGAGGAGAAATAAATGAGGAGGGCTGCCTAATAATGGCTCTGGGACTTTTTTAAGGTAATAAATATGTTCAGAATTAAGACAGTAATGGTGCTGCTAACCTTGTGCATATTCTAGTGAATTGTACACTTCAAGTCAATGAATTGTATGATCTGTGAACTAGATCTTAATTTTTTTTTTTTTAGATCTTAATTTTAAAAATACACAGGATGGCTCAGTGTGTATACTTCTATGTGAGAGACAGAATGTGACATCCAGCCAATGCCCTTCATCTATGCTCCCACCCCTCTGTATGTGAAGCCTGGCCAGGTCGCTGCGATGCTGAGCATGTTTCAGCAGAGCTTCCAGACTAAGAGGAACTAGGATGAAAGGTCTATAAAATATAAATAAATGTTTCAGAGAAACTCAAAAGAGCCAGACACTGATTATGAGTGCATCCCTGTTTACTGCTAGTACTTTCGTTATCTGAAAGCAAGCAGGAATATAAAAGGTTTTGCATTATTACAGTAGGGTGTGGGTTGGCCACAAGGAATCTATTACTGAAAGAGGTTGAGAAATGCTCTTTCATATGGGTACTTGCTAATAAATTATACAAAATTCATAAGATTTGACTGAATGGGCTCTTGAAGATGCTTTCCCACTTTACTATTATACATCTAAAAGCCTATGCTCAGTAGATGTGTACACTTTTTATGCCAAGGAGTAGAGAATCAACCAAACCTGAGATGTCACTTTTTTGGCAAAAGTATGCTTGACTAAAGCTATGGTCTTTTTAATTAATTGCCCCACATCCATGTGAAAGCTGTGCATTTAAAAAAGACCTAAAAAGAATCAATCCACTTAAAATGTGGTCTTGGGAAAGAGTACTGAATACAATGAGGAGTAACAAAGAATGAACAAGACAATCAGAAGGAATACACACCACCAAAATGCTTCTGTGGTGTTTGCCTAAAAGTTGGCTTTTTTAAGCCATTACAGTTAGCACCTCTGGTCTCCAACTACCTTAACTTCAGACACATGGTCTTGCAAATCAGCATAGTCTTACAAATCATCAACAGCTGTGGGACTAGGATAAGAGAAGGGGTGTGCTTTATACACACAGGGCGGCAAAAGTTGAGGTGCTCAAGACTTGTGAGAGCAAGACGTGAGGGAGACTGGAGCAAACCTTGTTGAAGATCCTGGCGACGGTGTTGGAGAGATTGTGGTATTGCTGTGGAGAAACTGTGGCGAGATATAAGCAGAGAAACCTTGAGATAAAGGTCACAGTTAAAGGTTTTTGTTGTTCTTCCCGGATTATTGAGGGAGAAGCTAACTTATAACTTGCTGGATGCTTATTTGCTTGGAGGCAAACCTGGCTGGATACTTTGGATTTGACTGCTGAACTGAAACCAGAGCCTGGACTAATTGAAGAATTGTGCCTTGGAACTTGGACTAAAACCTGGACTTGTATTGGGTGATATTCTTTGCCTCCCCCACCCTTCAACTTCCTTCTCTAATAAATGCCATTGTTGGTACTAGAACTGTGAGTCAGCAGTGAATAAATGAACTCCTTGCTGTTGGTGTGGCTCTAGAGGCTTCATGGGGCCGGCCTCTGGGCCCTCTTTCTGCTCTCTGCTCTAGGACAGTGCTATTCTCACTCCCACTGGCCCTTTCAGAGAGACGTGCATGGCCTTGTACCTCCATGTCTAGCTTGCTCCTTTTTAGACAGCTTCTTAGAAGCAAAGATGGTGAGATGTTGTCTTGTTTATTCTGGTCATATCATCTGGAAAGACCAATGACTAGTAAAGGTCATGGTTAGTGGAGTACAGAGTTCACACAGGTGAGTGAAACCTCAGTGAGATGGGTTGACCAATATCCACAGCATACCAACGATAATGAAGATAATGCTGGACTGGCCAGGCAACATTATATTCTATATTACAGAAGGTTGCCAGGGTCAAAACTAACTCCATTAGAGCTAACAACATCAGCAATCATCACAGGGTGGAGATAAGCTGACTGGCCCTGCAATATGACAACAGCAGCATCTGATAGGTAGGCAGTTCTTTTTTTTGTCAGGAGCTCTCTCTGCCAATACTCTCTGTATACTCACATTTTATTAAATTCCACACTCTCCTTGTTAATGGCTTAGTTGTTTCATTCTTCAAAGATCTTTGAAGGAAAAGTTTAAAATGTTAACTTACAGTTTTCCTTTCATGACAACGTATAAAGGACCAACTTGGAAAGGAAGACATGTTAGAGAAAAATGCCAGGAGAATGCCATCTGTGGGAAGATTAGGGCCTGGGCTTGGGTGAGGCAGAAGCAGTGGGTGGCCAGTGAAGGTGTGGTGAAGGACAGGCCGAGTGAGGCCTTAGCTCCACAGCCTACTTCAGTCCTTAAATGAATGAGTGCTCAAAAGTTACCTGGACACAGTGAAGATATGTTTACACACAAAAACCAGGGTGAAAGGGAATATCAGATTAAATCACTAACTGCAGGGTTTACACTTGTTAACGTGGGTGATAGTAAAGGCAAGGTAAAATAAAGAAGTCAACTCAAATTGTCCAGGAAAAGGAAGATGCTGAAAAGAGTACAAGAGTTAAAAACAGAGACAGACTATTGAATACCCCATACTGCAGTATTATTACAGTAAGAACATAAGGTGTGCAGATAGATTCTCAGCTAAACAGAGGTGTGATGGGAAATGGGACTATACCCAGTAATAATATAGGTTTGTTGCTGTTGTTTTATATTGTCAAGTTGGAACCAAACTGTAGCTGACCCTCCAACAGATTTTCAGAGGCAGTTAGTTGCGCAGGAGGACACTGCTCATCCTTCTCGTGCATTCAAACCTCATGCCTTTGGGTTGCCGGTGCAACTCCTTACCATTAGGCCATCAGAGTTCTCTAAACTAGGTTTGTTGTTGTGTACCATCAAGTTGGAACTGACTCATAGCTCCAGTAGATTTCCAGAGGCTGTAAATCACATGAGAAGAGATTACCCATCCTTCTCCTGTGGCGCAGCTGGTGGATTTTAACCACATACCTTTGGGTTGGCAGAACAATTCCCTACTACTAGGCCACCAGATCAGAGGATAATTTCTATGTGTGTATTTATATATACTAGAAATGTATCCTTGAAAAGTCTCAGCTATATCCAAACACCTTAAGGGAATGAATTTCAGGGTCTGGGACTCAAGACCTTAGCAATCAATTAACATGACACAGTCCACAAAGTAACTTTCTTTGGCTAATAGCCATCTGAGTACAATTATTGGTCTCTTTTTCCACAGAAAAGACAGATGAAGAAAATTAAAGCCCTGAAGAAACAATTAGTATAAAGGATAATGGACCACAAGAACCCCAGCCTCCACAGCACTGAAGAACTAGCCGGTACCTGGATACCTCTGCTGAATGCTTTGAAAGGGGTCACAATAAGAGGTTTTAGAGTGGAAGGAAAAAGTGGAACAAAACGCAGAATCATAAACAAGGCCAAGCTCTTATCTGGAATGCGCTCTAGCATCCCCTCAAAAAGTTGAAAACAGAGGTACCATTTGATCTGTCTACTACTGGTAGTATTTCGTTGTTGTGAAGTATTGTCGATTTGGAATTGACTCATAGCTGACCCTCCAATGGGTCTTTAGAGGCAATAAATCACACAGGATTTACTTCTTTCTTCCATGGATCAGCTAGTAGATTCGAGCTATGTGCTTTAGGGTTCATGGCACAGCTTCTTACCCTAAGCCACCAGAGCGCCCTCTTGGGAAAATAACCTAATGAAATAAGAGCTGTAACATGAACAAATACTGCAGCACTGCTCACAACAGCAAACAGGGAAACAGCACAAATTCCCATCAACAAATGGAGAGACAGAGAAACTGGTACATTCATACAGTGGAGCATAACACGGCATTAAAAAACAATGAAGAACTTGTGATACACTACATAACATGGATTAAATTAGAGGACCTTATGCTGAGTGAAATAAGTCAGTTACAAAAGGAAAAATACTGTATACGACCATGGTTATTTTTTTAAAAAAACCAAAAACTTCAGAAAGGTTTCCATATGAAAAGAATCAAGCCAGGATAACTGTAAGGGGTGGCGAGGGGAGAGAAGAGTGGAAAATAATGGATAGGCAATGAGCACTTTATTAGAATAGATGAAAGGATAATATGAAATAAATGGACAATCAACATTATGTTTGTTGAATTAACAATGTACAACAGGATATGCATAACTGATTAACTGGTAGAAAAAACAAAACTAAGGAAAGATTTATATACAAGAACAGTTGTGGAGGACAGACAAGGATGGGAGGAGCGGAAAAGGGAGGCAGAGATGGGTGGGGAGCAGAGAGAGGAGAGTACAGTGAGGATTTGATGAGACGTAATAAATGGCGATGATCAACTGTAACTAACGTTGGAAGACAAAATATATGAATGATTGCATGAAGACCAATTTCTGAAAAAAGACCAGGTTTATTAGTCTGAGAGTTGTTGTTATGTACCACAGAGTCGGAATGCTCAGAGCTGACCCTCCAGAGGCTTTTGGAGGCTGCATATCTCCCAGGAGGAGACTGCCCATCTTTCTCCCATGGAGCAGCTGATAGATTCGAACCTCATGCCTTAGAGTTGGTAGTGCAACTCTTTACCACTAACGCTTGAGACTATGACCCTAAAACAACCTGTAAGTCTGGAAATGGGCTCAAGCCTATGGCTCAACTTTCAGGCAAACAACAGCCGGTCCTATGAGTAAGTGAATAACGAGGAAGTATTCACACCTTAGAACAATCAAGCACAAAATATCAAAAGGACACAGCACTGGCCCAGGGCTAAAGCTTAGAAGGTGGGAATGGATAGAAAAAATGGAGGAAGGAGATCAGTATACACAAGAAAGTGTGAAGACCACTGTTACAGCATGGGATGGCAACCAATGACAGAAGAATGGACTGTGAGACGGAAAACCAGTTATCTCTGTACACTTTCACTCAAATCACAAGAAAAGGGGTTTTCAAGACTGTGCTTTGGTGCCACAGCCTCAAGCGTTTTCTTGAACTAGACAAAAACCACACTGTTTTCTACCAACAACACTATGGAGAGTTTATCTGGCTCCAAAATGAAAAGGTACACAATCACTCACATTACTTCAGGCTCATCATTTGAACCAGTTGTGGAAGGGAAAAAGAATGAATGGTTCTTTAAACGTGTATTGCAATTTATAGTTTGCAAAGCACTTTTATAACTTTGTTTTCAGCAATCTTGGAAGTGTAGGTATTTTCAGCCTCAGAAAGGCCTTATTAAATGAAAGTCACAACTTAAATTGAAGTCCTCTGGTTCTAAATCTTATGCTGTTTCCTAAACGTAGTAAATGAATTCAAAGTAGTTATTTAACTAAAGGATATTATAGCTCTCGCCAGAGGGGCCTTACAAAGACCAAAGGTAAAGGGCAGAGAAAGAAAAATAAAATTAATAAGACAGTACTTGCACGCTTTCAGACAGTTGTTGTTGTCGTTATGTGCCGTTGAGTCGCCTGCGACTCATAGCGACCCTATGTACAACAGCCCTAAACTCCGCTCTGTCCTGTGCCAATCGCACTGTCTCTGACACACCCATCCCAATTATCCCAGTCACTGAATCAATCCACCTCATAGAGGGCCTTCCTCTCCTGCGCCATCCCTCCACCCTCCCAAGCATGATGTCCCTCTCCAAGGACCGGTCTCTCCTCACTACATGTCCAAAGTAAGTTAGACGGAGCCTCAGAATCCTTGCCTCCAAGGAGCCACCCGGTTTAACCCTCTCCAGGACAAATCTATTTGTTTTCCTAGCAGTCCATGGTATTCTCAGTACTCTTCTCCAGCACCAAAGCTCAAAGGCATCAGTTCTCCTTCTATCCTCCTTGGTCATTGTCCAACTCTCTGATGCATAACAGGTGATTGCGAAGACTATGGCCTGTATCAGATGCACCTTAGTCTCCAGAGAGACACCACTGCTCTTCAGCACTTTGGAGAGGTCTCTAACAGCAGACTTTCCCATGGCAATGCGCCTTTTAATTTCCTGGCTGCTGGTGCCAAGACTGTTGACTATGGAGCCAAGCAAACTAAAGCTGTGTACAATCTCAATCTCTTCACCATCCATCCTGATGCTGCCGATTGGTCCAGTGGTGAGAATCTTTGTCTTCTTGACATTGAGCCTCAATCCATATTGTAGGCTGCAGTCCTTGACACTCTGCAGCGGGTGCTTCAGGTCCTCCTCAGTTTCAGCAAGCAGGGTTGTGTCATCCGCATAACAGAAGAAATATAAATTTCCTAATAAGGCTGACAATATAGGCTGTCCCTGGGTGAAGCAAAACATGCCCAGGTGGGCATGTGCAAGTGAAAGGTGCGCGGGTTCAAGGTCAACCTGCCATGTGCCAGAAGAAAAGGCCTACCAATCTATTTTCCAAAATAAGTCACTGAAAAATTAATTTTTTAAAAAAAAAAAAAAGGAAAAAGAAAACTCAATGGAGCAGTTCTAGTCTGACACACACGGGGCTGCCATAAGCTGTAACCGACTCACAGCACCTGGTACAGGTGCTAAGTGCAGGTTATGCTTGTAAACAGATACATAAACATATCAGTTATCACTGTTATGAATTCAGTGATATAAAAAACCAACAAAGTGAAACGTATAATTGGAGTTAATGGAATTTTTTGAGGCAGGAGGAATATAGTCTACTTAGCAGTCAGATGGAGCAATTAAGAACCAAAATGAGCTTGAAGGGAAACCTCTGTCTTGCTGTGTAGGAAGTTTTCCTGAAATTTTTTTCTAGAAGGAAGGTCTAGTTACAGGATACAATAAAATTAGTTCTTCCTTTGTCCCTGAGGCAGAACTGTCTAGAGAATATCTATCTAGTTTGCACATGTAGTGGAGGGACAGGATCTTTCCCTTGGTGAAACCTTAGTTCTAGGTCCCTACCTCTCATATTTCTATTAATCAAAAGGCTGATGCTGATTCAATTCTGAATGATAGTAACCCATATGTTACAGAGTATTACTGCTACGTAGGATTTTCTTGACTGTAATATGTATAGATAGCAGCCAATCACCAGGCCTGCTTTCCACCATGATGCTGGGTGACTTAGAACAAACTCCATGTTACTGTGCACTCTAACGCCTCTTGCGTAGAAAACTTGAAAAATGTGTTTTACAGTTTCTTTTAATAAAGTCTAAGTTTTGTGCTGCCTAGAAGGCAAAAGGGAGACATGTTACCATTTGCCACATATGAAATATATGGAATTACCTGATAAAGGTAAAAGGTTTGAATAGCCAAAAGCTAACTGCAAGTTTAGAGATAAACAGACACATCACAGTTCCACATTTCAACCCTCATTTACCACTTTTTCCTTGAAGCTAAGTTTGCCTTTTACCAATCTTCCAACCACTCATTTTTCTGTTTCTCCTCCTTTCCTTCTGCTAAAACATTCCTTTATTTTTCATGTACCCTACAGAATTCCAGGCAATTCATTCCTCCTACAAGAAATCTGGAGAGAAGATGAAATCTGGCTCTGAGGTGCCTTGCCTTGACAGAACAAAGTGGCTCTCAACAGAAAGAAAAATCAACTCACCCCATAGAACAAACCGAAATAGGGAGAGATATCGGGCCTGAAAATGCTGACGAGGGATAAGAGCTCATCTCTGTAGCCCCAGAGCAGGTCGTGGACCGTGTGTGTCACAAACAGCTTCTGCTGGTAGGCCTTCATCATGGCTTCGATGATCTCCCGGAGGAAGTGGTTCTGGGCCCATTCCATGGCCGTCTGAGGAGAAAAGGAGAATTCAGAAAGCAGTGTCCCCTCCAATACAATACTAGCCCTCTTTCTTCTACTCCTTCAGCAAAGGTGCCTGAAAAATGAGCTAGCAAGCTTCACTCTGGTTATGTGGCATCTAGAAGAATAAGACCTTTGGGCTGTTGTCTTTTCTCAGTACTACAGTCGTAAGTGTGATCTAAGCATCTCTGATTCATTGCAAGTTCTATGCATTATGTGTTGTCAGATGCATTAAGAGGTGACACCAACTCATGGAGACCGTGTGTGCAGCCCATTACTCCACAGTTTTCAAGGCTGTGAACTTTTGGAAGCAGATGATCAGGCCTGTCTTCTCACATACCTCTGGGTGGGTTCAAGCTACTCACCTTTGGCTACTTAACAGTTTGCAGTATCTAAGGGTTGTTATTCAGGAGCATCTTAGGGAGCTCTGGTGGCCTAGTGGTAAGAAGTTGCACTGCAATCCCAAAGACACGGTTCAAATCCACCAGCTGCTCTGAGGAAGAAGGATGGGCAGTCTCCTCTCGTGAGATTTACTGTCTCTGAAACCCATTGAAGGATCTAAAAATAACCTGGAGAGTCAGATATATGGTTCAGTTCTGACTCTACAGCACGCAACAACAAGGGCAGCACATGGAGAAAAAGTGCCATGACTACATTTGGCCACACGGTGGCGCGATGCTCCTCCTACACCACAAGCAGCAGTTCCCGGGTTCACCACTTTGGACACGTTATCAGAATGGACACCTGTCTGGAGAAGGATGATGTCGTGCTTAGAAAAGTCAGCAGAAAGGAAGCTCCTCTCAGTGATGGACTGACACTCTGTTTACATGGACTCAGGGACAGCAGTGACTGTGAGGCTGGTGAAGGGCACGACAGGGCTTCAGGTCACGGGGTCACCTAACAACCACCACCACCACCACCACCACCTACAACTGTGTGAGGAGGTGACAGGAGTGGATATGATGAGAGCTGTCGTTTAGATATTACTAGAGATGGATCTGTCATTATAAATCACAGTAGGCTGTAATCAAATGCCTGGTGTCCCTTTCTGGTTAGCAGCCCAGTATGTTCCCATCACCAGAGCCCCTTCCAGCTCCTGCTGCGTGGAAAAGCAGAAAACTCAATACACATTGTGAAAACTTAAAATCAAAAATAAAAATCTGAATGAAGGAGTGCTTGTTATGGTCGTTTGCTGCTAAGTTGGAACCGACTCATAGCCGACGCTCCAGAAGGTTTTCAGAGGCTGTAAACTGCAAGAGAGGAGAATGCCCATCTTCCTTCTAAAGAGCAGCTGGTGGGTTCAAACCGCGTGCCTTGGATTATCAACGCAGCTCCTTTACCACTAAGCCAGCAGAGTTCTCAACTAGGGAGTGGTATGCAAATTATATTGCTAGAGTTTTAAAAACAAAACAACAGATATTTTTAAATCATTGTTTTGTTATTTGATACCATCAACCTGGTTTTGACTTGCGGGAACCCCACTTATGCAGTAGAACCGCTCCACAGGGCGTGCAAGGCAGTGGCCTCGAAGAGGCAGACAAACAGGTTGGACTGAGGTGGCGCTGGGGGCAGGGGGAGGAGCTCTGTGTTAAATTGGCAACCTTTCAACTAGTGTTTATCTGTGTGGACCATCCAGGGTCATCTTTATTTGTACAAATAATAACCTGAGAACAAAGGAAGCGCTTAGAAAACCAGTCTTAAGTGTGGATGTTAAATTCTGACAAAATCTTGGTTAATAAGAGTCAAGGGGAATGGTTTTTAAAACAGGAGGGGAAAATACATATGTATGTGTGTGTTTATTTTTTTAACATAATAATGCTTAAATATAAAACCATAACTAAGCTTTTTTATTTCTTCTAAAATCCACAATAACCATACAAAATGCCTACTTACCACAACAGGAATATTTAACGTTCTAATTACATCAATTTTAGGGTCTCCAATGGATAAACTTTGTTCAAAAACATAAGCCTTGTTGCTCACAGCAGATATTGTTGTTCCATTATCTCCAAATTGTATATTTGCTTTGTTTCTGAGCTCCCTAAAATTAAAAAAAGGAATTGTTTGAAAATAAGACATTGCTATAACAATCAGGACTTTTCCTTTAAGCATTAAAGTTCTTTTTAATGTAATAATCCCAATATAGCCATTATAAATATTGTGTTATTCAACTTTAAAATTATTTTAACATCGTATGGCCTAGTGACAAGAATCTGTGCTGCAATCTCAAAGGCATGTGGTTCAAGGCCACCAGCGATGGGTAATCTCCTGCCATGTGATTAACTGCCTCTAAAAAACTGCTTCTGAAAACCTGCCAGAGGGTCAGCAATGGGTCGGTTCTGGCTCTGTGATACACAACAACAACAACATTTTAAATTGTCATAAACAGATGCAAGCAGAGGACAAAAACTTGTGTAAAAAATGAAGACTTGAAGCACTTGCAAATGATCAAAGACTACAAATTCAATATGGGTTACATTTACACATCAAGGAAACAACATTCTGACCCCTAGACCAATTTGGTAACATCATGATAAGCAGAAGGATAGAATGAAATTGTCAGTGATTTTATTTACTTGGATCCACAATCACTATTCGGTGGTAGAAGCCCTCAAGAAATAAAAAACCAAAGGGCTCAAAATCACTGGGAATCATTGAGATGTAAATCAAAACAACAATGAGATAACATCTCACCCCAGTTGTTGTTTGTGTCACTGAGGTGGAACCCACCCATAGCTGACCCTCAGGCTGGTTTTCAGAAGCAGTAAGTCACATCAGAGTACATTCCCCTTTTTTCTCTCTCCAGGAGCAGTTGATGGATTCAAACAGCCTACCTTCACAGCTCAGCTTCTTACCCCTAGGCAGAGCTCCCTCTGTCACCCCCGCAACAGTAACAAAGCTTAACAAGACAGCAATCAATAAATGTTGGAGAGAATGTGGAAAGATTGGAACTCTCATGCACTGTTGGTGGGATTGTAAAATGATACAACCACTCTGGAAGGCAGTTTGGCATTTCCTCCAAAAGCTGAACACAGAAATGCCATATGATCCAGCAATTGCACTGTCAGGAATTTAGAGGAAATTAGAACTGAGACATTTGTACATGTTTGTTCATAGCAGCGCTATATACAATAGTAAGAAAATAGAAACAGCCCAAATGTCCATCAACGATGTACATTTTTTTTTATCCCACTCACCTGGTAAAAATTTATTTGCATACAACCAACCCTGACATATTGCGTTTTATCCATGCATATTGTGCCCCACGCAATTCCTCAAATACACTGTACTTTATACAATTAACTATGACCTATACATGTCTAAGGGAGCTCTAGTGGCCTACTGGTAAGAAGCTGCACTGCAATCCAAAGCCACACAGTTCAAAGTCACGCAGTTCAAATCCACTGGTTGCTTTGTGTGAGAAGGATGGACAACCTCCTCTGAAGATCTGCTAGAGGGTCAGCTGTGGGTTGATTCCAACTCAATGGCATACAAACACAACAACCATGTCTATTATCACACTGTTCCCCCAAGACCCCACCAAACTCTACCATCCCATGGGTCTCCTGCTTCCCCCTTTTCCACCCTTTCCACCCCGTTTTTGCTTTCACGAAGTAGTTTACCTTGACTTTCATTCATGTACATTATGTTCCATACAATCTTCCACTTATACTGGGTTTCATACATCATTCATATACATTGTCTTTTGTATAGTTAATTACCATTGATCTGTGTCTATTATTATATCATCCCTTCAAGTCCCCACTGAATTTTTCTTATCTTTCACCCCACCCCCTGCAACATGCCCACTAAACTCTACTGTCCTAGTGATTTCCATGCTTTCCCTTTTACAATCCCCTTCCCCTTGCTTCCATCTTCTTCCTTTTTGTACTTTTATCCACATCTTATTAGGTATATTTTATTTTTACAATAATGGGCTTTTGCAGTGTTTGTCCTTATGAGACTGAATTAGTTCACTCAACATAATGCTCTCTAGTCTCTCCCATGTTATACAACATCTCACAAAATCATTATTCCTTAGTGCTGCGTAGTATTCCACTGTGTGAATGTACCACAATTTCTCAATCCATTCATTTGTTGATGGGCATTTGGCCTGTTTCCATTTTCTTGCTATTGTGAATAAGGTTGCTATGAACATAAGTACACAACAACATACCTCTTTTTATAGCACCAAGCTATAGAATAATTAAAGTTTAAAAAAATTACACTGGCATTGTTTTGCAAAAGGTTTAACATATTTAATTTAATCTTTATATTAAGCCTATAGTACAGATAGGATAGTTTCTCAAATTTTCTCTCATTTTTACAGATGAGAAAATAGTTAAAACAGGAGAAGAGTCACAATTTGAGACTCCATCTTCTGATTTGCATGGAAGGCCATTATCTCTGTATTGGCTAGTCTCTCACAGTAGGTGCTTCATAAACGTATATGGGGTGCAAATCAAGAAATGTCTCCAACAATAATGTCACATTGTTATGTTGTTGTTGCTATGTGCCATTAAGTCGCCTGTGACTCATAGTGATCCTATGTACAACAGTCCTAAACCCTGCCCTGTCCTGTGCTAGTCTCACTGTCTCCGACCCCCCTTCCCACTACTCCAGTCAATCTACCTCATCCAGTTTAAGAGAAATACAGTTGTTTTAAAATACATATACAAAGGAGCTCGGGTGGTCTATTGTTAAGAATCTGTGCTGCAATCCTAAAATACTTACAGTTTTGTGTTCAAAGGCACCTGTAGCATATTTTCAATTGTTATGCACCCACTCCCCTTTCTTATGGTAAATCAGACAAGTAAACTTTTGGTACTACTTATTATTACAGAAGAGAACTACTCCATAGGGTTTTCTGGATTAATTTTTATGGAATAAGATTGCCAAGCCTTTCTTCTGTGGTTCCACTGGGTGGGTTGGAACTTTCAACCTTTTGGTTATTAGCTGAGGACACACCATTTTTGCCAGTCATCGTTCCTTCTAGCAATCTCTTACACACTGCTGTCAAGTCAGAGCTGACTCATAGCAGAGTTTTCATTAAGTTGTATACGACACGGAAGGAGACCGCCTGTCTTCCTACTACAGTACTGCTGATGGATGTAAGCTTCCAGGGGATATGAGCCTCCACAAAGGCATGGCCTGTGGGTTAACAGCTCAACTCCCTACAGCAGACTATGCCATCAGAGCATCTAGTGAAAGTCCCCAATGTCCTTCCCTTTCCTCCACTGAGCGTACCTGTGGGTCCATCAATCAAGGGGTGGTGTGAGACCCAAGTTTGACCAACTTCTTTTCACTTGTTGTTGATTTGTGCCATTGAGTCACTTGTGACTCATAGCAACTCTATGTACAACAGCCCTGAATCCTGCACTGTCTTGTGACAACCTTATTGTCTCTGACACACCTACCCTCATTACCCCAGTCACTGAATCAATCCATATCAGAGGGTCTTCCTCTTTTACACTGTCCCTCCACTCTTTCAATTATGATGCTCCTCTCCAAGGACTGGTCCCTTCTTGCAACATGCCTAAAGTATGTGAGATGAAGCTTCAGAATTCTTGCCTCCAAGGAGCAGCCTGGCTTCACTCTCTCTAGAATGAACCTGTTTGTTCTCCTAGCAGTCCATGGTATATTCAGTACTCTTCTCCAGCCCCACAGCTCAAAGACATTAATTCTCTTTCTATCATCCCTAGTCATTGTCCAGCTTTCTGATGCATAGCATGTAATTGTGAAGATCAGGAGCAAGATCAGGTGCACCTTAGTCTCCAGACTGACATCATTGCACTTCAGTACTCTGGAGAGGTCCCTGATAGCCGACTTTCCCAGTGCAATTCGACTTTTAATTTCCTGGCTGCTGGTACCAAGAGTGTTGATTGTGGGGCCAAGCAAACTAAAGCTGTTAACAATCTCGATCTCTTCACTGTCTGTCATGATGCTGCCAATCGGCCCAGTGGTGAGAATCTTTGTGTACTCGAGGTTGAGCTTCAATCCATATTGAAGACTGAAGTCCTTGACCTTCTGCAGTAAGCACTTCAGGTCCTCCTCAGTTTCAGCAAGCAGGGTTGTGTTGTTTCTTGTGAGTAGAGCCGAAGAAGACTAGCAAAGTGAAATGTAAATTTTCTAAAGGGCAAAAAGCTCTCTCAAGCTAATTGCACTGAGAAATTGTAAAGCCTCTGTTTTTATTAGCAGATAATCAAAGCTTACAGTAAAACAGGATATCATAGGGTAGGTAAATGTTTAAACATATGGAACAAAGCATAGGTAATATGGAACAAAGCATAGATAGGCTGAACAGTTTTCAATAAAACATATTTGTACGTATGAACAAGGTCTTACTGCACTCTTAACAACCTTATCAAGAACTTTAGAAAATAGTCTTTGTTTAACAGAGAACTTCCAGATCCCTTTGATGGTGGTACATGCTCCACGAAGTCTGAGATTGCTTTCAGTCCCATCCATTCTTGGTATTCTTTGCCTGCTTTCAGGCACTGTATCCAAGTCTTTTCACATGTACTTCATGGCCACTAGTAACCCTAGTAAACTAGAATGACTCTACAGTGTTGTGTCATCTACATAATGCAGATGAATCTTCCTCCAGTCCTAATGCCACACTCCTCCTCAGCCTTACTCTGCCTCCCAGATGATCCATTCTGCATATAGATTTAAAATGTATGGAGATAGGACACATCCCTGGAGTATACCTTTCCAGATTTTGAATCATGCAGTGTTTCCTTGCTCTTTTCTTATGACTGCCTCCTGGTCCAAGTATAAGTTTCGCATAAGCACAATCAAATGTTCTGGGATTCCCATTCTTCTCAAAGTTAGCCACAGTTTACTGTGATCTACACAAACAAATGCCTTTGCATAGGCAATGAAACACAGACATTTCTCTGGTTCTCTCTGCTTTCGGCCAAGATCCATCCAACATTAGCTAAAATATCCCTAGTGCCACGGCCTCTTTAATGATGTTGTTAGATAATTTCCTCATTTTGTCAGGCCACCTTTCTTTGGAATGGGTATAAATATGG